AATGTTCTCTTTAACTCGGGTAACTATAGAGGTGATCGATCAGATGGTTCGACCTGTAGAACTGACGTTACACTCCAAACTGGATTTGTGACGTTGGGTCTCAGCTGTAACTTCCGGGTTGCTGTTGCAGTCATTCGAAAATAAAGGACAGGGTTTTATTGCGAGAAATATTGAAAGGAAACTTTACTGATCTATTTAATGATATCTTCTGTAAAGTCTATTTTTAATCTTATCTATTTTAATGATATACGTGTCTTTTTTTCTTCCCTTTGCTTGCATAGCACTTTTTAATAATCATTCGATACAGACATTTCAAATTTAAAAGAATAAACTTGAGCAAATTGGAAATGTGTTAAATGATTAGTTTAAGAAAAGCTTTCCTCGCAATCCCATTGATGGCCACGTGGCTAAGCCTTCTGCGAGTTTTTTTGCAGAATATCCATTCGAATGTCGATCTTCCGACTGCCATGCCTCATCTAATAATGTTATTATAATGCTAAGCAAGTTCTCGTCCGCCAAAATGAGATGATTCGTGTTTTCATCAACTAAATATGCTAGAGCGGTAAGCAGAGATTCGGCTGCAATTGCTGGAACTTCTTTCTTAGCAAAGTAAAGCAACGTTTGCTCACGGTTAGCAAACAGCTCACGGTCCCGAAGTCGCCGTGAAATGTTATGCAGAATTCCAATAGAGTTGTCAATTATTTTAACTTGCTTCGAGTCTTCATCTTCCCAGTTGGGATTTTCAGCATCAATTCGTTTAATGATTTCAAAGCACATTGAAATGCGCCTGCAGCCGCACACGCTGAGCAAAAACCTTGGTGAAAGTCTGAGAAGTTTTGTATTGCCGCTAAAGTATTCGAAAGACAATACATGTGTAGTCGTCAGTTTCTTCTTCATCGTCAGACTCTTCTTTAATGAGGTAGCTGAATTTCTTAAAGCAATGCTGTACGAAACGTTTCAATTGTTCAGCGCCACATTATCGATTTATTCACACCGTTACGAACCACTCGTTGCCATGCATAAATCGCGTTACCTGGCGGGTTTCGCGTTGACGTCAATTACAATAACGTTGTAACATAGAAAAACGCTAAAAGTAAAAATGAGCATTGTAAAAATCCAAATAAGAATTAATTAGACTTACTATAAAACCACTACAGGGTGCATTTAGTATTTTCAACCAACGCGTACAGCCGTCTCATTCATTTGCTTTTACGCCCCAAAGACTCTTTACAGAAAATGAATGTTAAATCTATCTAGGTTTATAAGCAAGCGTAATTAATTCCCTGTTTGTTTTGTTTCTTCCTTTTATTTTCCTTTTTACTATTTTTCCAAGAGAAAGGTATTGAAATAAGACGTACAGCACCATCCATCCGTGTAGCGTAACGAGAGCCATTCGCATGATTCATTCAATATAATTATCTTGTAAAACTGAGTTCTATGAAGTTCGCTGAAATTGTTTTTTCTCATGGCTTTTCGTCAACAGTTTTAAACTTGAGTAACTTTCTAATTGGGGACACTGAAAATGCTAAAATTCTCTAAAATTTTAAACTTATATTTTTGCAGTATTGAACAACCCTTTATCTCTTAAACTTGCCGATAAACAGACAATTGAAGATGAACTTAACGTTGATGGAGGTAAGCATGTTTTAGCTTGTTTTTAAACTAGGAATTATTTTGAATCAATAGTAAAAAAATTATTGGATTCGGCTTTCGTATCATCCGAAGAATTATGGAGATCTCGGCCAAATCGGCCTCGGCGGATAACACCCTCCTCGACGTCCATAATTCTTCAGATGATACTCAGCCTCATCCAATAATTGTTAAATATTTCTAAACATCTTAGAGCCTGTTTACATGAAGGTGGGAGACCCCAGGTAGGTGAGGTAACATGGGGCGGGTTACCCCACCTAACACGTAAACGTGACTGACATTAAAATGAGAGATTATATGGACAGGCGGGTTACCCAACCTAAGCGGGTTACCTCACCTATCTGGGGTACCCCACCTTCATGTAAACAGGCCCTTAGACTCTGTTTACATGGAGTGGGGGACCCCGGTCTAGTGGGGTTGGTTTCTTTTGTTTTCACGCTCTGGGGGATACAAAACAAAAGAAACCTACCCCACTAAACCGGGGTCCCCCACTCCATGTAAACAGGGTCTTAGAACTACACATCATACAGGAACTGGAGTTGTCATCTACAAGATCTAAAGGTTAGTACATCGCAAGCTGGACTTGTAAGGTTCCAGATCAAAGTTTACAGTGTCGGGAAAGGTGTCCGTGACGTTTATTCTAAAAATCGGATTAATAAAGAAAGCTGCGGATAACACGCACATATTGATATAAGTCGCTATTAACATAGAGATTCTCTTAGTAATGATGCACAAATGTTTGCTTCACTTGTAACACAGCATAATACCATAACATACGATAATGATCTTTGTTTGTCACCCCAAAATTTTGCATATGCACTGTCTTCACTTTCTCTTGGGAGTTAAAGTGGCCCTAAGAGAAACTGAAAACAATGCTTATGCAAAATTTTAGGGTGACAAACAAAGAGCATTATCGTATGTTATAGTATTTTCTGGAGTGGGCAATTGGGCAACCAGGTGGATCGGACTGGGTTTTATAATAACAATAATAATCATCATCATCACCACCATCGTCATCAATTCATTAGCTCTTCTATGCCAAAAAAAGAAACTATCTAGTAAACAGGTACAGTATAAAGGAAAATACAAATTTAGAATACATCTAAATCTAACTATAAGCTAAATATATGTGTAAATAATGGCAAGTATTGTACAATAGATACATAAATGTATATTAAGTAACTAATAATTAAAAAATATATATACATGTGTAGATCAAAGAACGCAAAAAATGTGGGAATATATGTGCAGAAAAATATATGCATAACTCTTATATGCGTAATCCTATAATCCTCACACAGTCTCAGCCCCAGTCAGGGCCTGTTTACACGAAGGTGGTGGACCCCAGGTAGGTGAGGTAACCCGATTAGGTAGGGTAACCCGCCCGTCCATATAATCTCTCATTTTAATGTGATCACCTCTACAAGTTAGGTGGGGTAACCCGCCACATGTTACCTCACCTACCTGGGGTCCCCCACCTTCATGTAAACAGGCCCTTAGTGAGAACAGCTGTTATTTACGGCTACTTGCCATTTACATGGGAAAACCGGAAATCAAATAGTTTGCGTCATCCCGTTTGGGAAGCTTCAGAACGAAATTTGGGCTGTGAATTGCAGCGATGCAATTTTTCTTCTTTTTTTTTTGGTCTCTTCAGCCTTGGATATACTTTGTAGAGGGTCGTTCTCTCACCACGTCAAATTTTAAAAAAGTTTTATGTTTATGCACAAGGTGTTTGTGTAGATGGTAAGCTCCCGTACATTTAGGCTAATATTCGGGAACGACTTTGCAGTTTCTTATTGAGGATCGGATCTTGTGGGTTTATATTCCTCTAACCGTCGATTTGAAGGCCAACTCTCATAGTGTAGGGCTGTATATACTAGCTTTAATAAATGAAAATCTTGACGGTGATGTATAGGTAATCAACGTACTTTGATTACCAAGAAAGAAAGCTTAGAAAAGATGAAAGGAAACTTTGTCAGGCAATTATCATGCCATATATTTTTGGTGTATATCTTAAGCCTTTCCCAGTCCAAATGATGTCAGTATTCAATGATATATTTGTTATTAATACAATTTTTTTCCACTTTTCTTTTTGGTTCAAAATGAAAAGGGGTAGTAGTAATATTTTAAACAAGAAAACACACTTGAGCAAATTTGGGATGAAATAAAAGATTACAAGAAAAGTTTTACCCGCTATCTCTTATAAAGTCATATACCTAACATACAAAGAAGTTCAAACCATAAGCTATAAATGCCTTGATCTAAACGGGTTGTTCTATCGTTATCTTGCACGTACCGATAAATTGGGCTAGCTTATAACACTCAGACACACACTGCGTCCCGTAGCTTGCCCAGTTCTTTCCTCAATGTGAATACCTCTACCATGTTCGACAAGTTCAAGTTCTTTTCTAAACATCTGTAGAAATACTCTGGTCATTCATTGCGTATTGGTTGTTGAAGGTCAATCAAGGTCTGTCCTTCTTAACACAGCTCTCCCAGCCCCTTCGTAAATGTGAATATATCTAGCATGTTCGTCAAGTTCAAGTCCCGCTCCAAACATCTGTAGAAATACTCGAGGCATTCGTAGCGTAATTGCTGAAGATCAGTCAGTGACTTTCCATTCATCCCCGAAATTTTTTTCTTACAAACCTTTTCTAAACCGATTTCTTTGAACCACTGTTTCACCTCTTCGTTATTCCAGGTAGACACTCCAGGGGATGAGGGTAAAGTGGCAACAATGTCAGATTGAACTGCTTGCACCACTGGCTCGGATGGTCCATCTGTCACGTCAACATCCTTTCCTCTTCCTCCTAGTTCTTTGATCACTTTCGTTACACTTTGTTCTAATACGTGTTTACTCTGAAAGTCAAACCACATCTTTCCTGTCACGATAATGCCCAGCCAACCGTCTCCTTTGTAATTACGTTCCATCATCAAAGGAATGATATCTTTCTTCAAGTCATAAGCGTACGTCGCCTCTGAACGACAGTTTTGACTTTCCTTGTATCGTCGCGAGACACAGACAAGAACAACAGAAGCATTCTCAACAGCTTCAGCCATTGCCTCCAAGGTCGATCCTTTCATCTGCTCCAGATCCATCCATACTCTGTATCCATTTGCTTGAAGCCTGTTTTTCACTTCGACGAGCACTTCCTGGGAATCCCATTGGTAGCTGATCATCACGTGATTTCCTATCGATTCCATCCTTTCCGAGTGCCTAGCTGTCTTCCCTTCCAGTTCCCACAATGCACCTGCAGCAGCCTTTTGCACTTCTGGGTTCTCGCTATGCTGTAACCGGTGTACGATGTCCATAGCCCCTTCTTCTTGACGTATTTTTTCTTTGTTATTGTCATGAAAGGCTAACATCCACAATGCTCTTGTAGCACTGGCTTTCTCCTCATCCTCGTTCGACGTTTTGATCACTGAAATTAAAACAGGAATGACTCCGTTTTGTCCCAAAATTTTCTTGTTGGCGTCGTTGATGGCGAGATGGCTAAGGCCTTCTGCGAGTTCCTTTGCAGAATATCCATAGCAACGCCGTCGATCTTCCGACTGCCATGCCCCATCTAATAATGTTATTATAAAGCTAAGCAAGTTCTCATCCGCCAAAATGAGATGATTCGTGTTCTCATCAACTAAATATGCTAGAGTAAGCAGAGATGTGGCTGCAATTGCTGGAACGTTTTTCTTAGCAAAGTCAAGCAACGTTCGCTCACGGTTAGCAAACAGCTCACGGTCCCTTAGTCGCCGTGAAATGTTATGCAGAATTGCAAGAGAGCAGTCAATTATTGCAACTAGCCGCGAGTCCTTCTCTTCCCAGTTGGAATTTTCAGCGTCAATTCGTTTTATGATTTCAAAGCACATTGAAATGACATCTGCACCCGCACACGCTGAGCAAAAACCTTGGTGAATGTCTGAGAAGTTTTGTATTGTCCCTAGAGTATAGGAAAGACAATTGTAACAATTAATGCGTGTGTTGTCGTCAGTTTTTTCTTCATCGTCGGACTTTTCATTGTCGTCAGTTTCTTCTTTATCGTCGGACTCTTCTTTAATAAGGTAGCTGAATTTCTTAAAGCAATGCTCTGCGAAAAGTTTCAATTGTTCAGCGCCACCGACATCAATGGTGAATTCGGTAAGTGTGATAAACTGTTTTTCGTCTTGACTCCCAGCGGATTTGCACATGTCGAGACTTGTATGAACTAAACCCGCAATCATCAAACCCACCTTGGCATAGTCTTCAGGGTCATTTAAATTTTTATCAACAAAGTTTTTGAGCGCTTGTATTCTTTCAAGCATTGTTTCTAGATCCTCAGCTTGGTCGGGATATTTGGCCTTGTATTCTTTGAGAGTATCGGTGGGTGAAGCTTTCTTATCCGTACTGGTCTGACTGGTTCGAGCAACATCAACCTGCTGTTTTATGTCCTTGTTTTGTGCTTCGTAACTGAAATGTTGATGTTGGACCGGAATATTTGGTTGAACCGTATCCTTTAATGGTGAAAGGCTCTCGTGTGGCGGTGACGATATTTGCTTAGAGTGGTGCTTATGTTGCGAGTTTCTGGATGCCCCGGCACCCATGGTGATACGAGGCTTCTAAGACCTGTCGATGCAGAAACGATGTAAATCTGTAATTGCCGTCTAGCAAACCGAGACAGTATTGTAAGCTAAGCACTATGTACTTTTTGCCAGCATTTCAGCACTAGATTTCAGTTTAACTATCCATCTGACATATACCAGTGCTGTGTACGACTTGTTCAAGTCTGCTGTACCGAGGTTTCGAGAAATGAGCGTAAGTCGACATGGATTGTTTATACAGCAAGATGGCTGGGGCCTTGTATACGTCATAGAACTGTATAACCAATAGCACCGAAGAGTCTCTTTTCACTGATCACCCGTTGCCATGCAAAAATCGCGTTACCGGACGGGGTTCAGTGTTTTGACTTCAATACTTCTTATTTATAAAATAACTAAGATAGTACGCACGCTCTGATTGGCCGGGAGGAGTGTTTGCACGATAGTAGGTAAACATTATAGTGGCGTCGAGATGTTTTGTTTTTCGCGTGCTAATAACGCAAGCACGAATTTGAAAAAGGTTTCGAGTTCAAAACTCGACAAGTTTACTTTATTTACCAATTCCTCCGTCGGCTGAAACTTGAAAAATCGTTAATCGTTAACTGTTTTATGCGAGAAATCCGTATTTTGAATAGCATCTTTTTGCAAAACAAGAACTGATTACGAGTGCAACACTTCGTGTACAAGACCTTGCGACTGGTAAGAATTTCTCTTTTAATCAATGCCATAACAAAGAGTTTTGCGTTTTTTCTCGGGAAAGTTATTTTATAAAAGCAATCTCTTCTCCCAACCCCTCTCGCGTTTATATCAGGCTATGCAAACACAGGAAAAAAGTTTTCTATTGCTTAAGTCTGGTCTCCTTTAAAACTTTTCCTCATACACCTAAATTGCAACAACGTTGTCATAAAAAAATTCTAAGAAGGAAAATGAAATAAGAATTAATTAGACTTACTAATAAACCACTGTAGGATGTATTTATTTTCAACGCACGCATGAAGCCGTCGCATTTTTATTTGCTTTTACGCCTCAAAGACTCTTAGCAGCAAATAAATGCACCCTACATCTGTCTAAGTTGATTATCCGTCCGTTCGGTGTAACAAGAGCCTTTCGCATAATTAATTAATTCATCAATTTCTTTGTTAAACTGAGTTTCCTACTAATTTCGCTGAAATGGTTTCTCTCATGACTTCCTTGGCAGTTTTAAACTTGTCAGTGAGTGACTTTCCCTGCATTTAAATCTCAATATCATTATGCATCTATGCATACCTCGCTTTTTCTTTCAGTTTTGTTTTTCGTTTGCCTTCAAATGTAAATCTGTGTCCGCTATTCAATACGTGGCGTAAAAGAGAATGAAGGGCGACCGACCGAAACTGGATTATTTCCTGCCGATATCTGCCGATATCTCAGTTTAGTGAGATTAATTACGTCTTTAGGAAGAACTCTCTCTTACCTTTATAAAATATATTCTTTATTTAGGAAAAACTAAAGTTTCAACAGGAACTCTTTAAAACAGTCTTTCTAATTATTTTTCCTTTATGTTCAATAATCTATGACTAAGTTACTAGTTACATAAGATCTGGTAAAAATGCACTGAAAATGTTCTCTTTAACTCGGGTAACTATAGAGGTGATCGATCAGATGGTTCGACCTGTAGAACTGACGTTACACTCCAAACTGGATTTGTGACGTTGGGTCTCAGCTGTAACTTCCGGGTTGCTGTTGCAGTTATTCGAAAATGAACGACAGGGTTTTATTGCGAGAAATATTGGAAGGAAACTTTAGTGATCTATTTAATGATATCTTATGTATAGTCTATTTTTAATCTTATCTATTTTAATGATATTGTGTTATCATACAACTTTTAGTCCTTTTTCTCCCCTTACCTTCATAGCACTTTTTAATAATCATTCGATACACACATTTCAAATTTAAAAGAATCAAACTTGAGCAAATTGGAAATGTGTTAAATGATTAGTTTAAGAAAAGCTTTCCTCGCAATCTCTCATCCTACAACTGCAAACACGAGGAGCAGGCCTATTATTACTTTATCGAAGNAATGTTCTCTTTAACTCGGGTAACTATAGAGGTGATCGATCAGATGGTTCGACCTGTAGAACTGACGTTACACTCCAAACTGGATTTGTGACGTTGGGTCTCAGCTGTAACTTCCGGGTTGCTGTTGCAGTTATTCGAAAATGAACGACAGGGTTTTATTGCGAGAAATATTGGAAGGAAACTTTAGTGATCTATTTAATGATATCTTATGTATAGTCTATTTTTAATCTTATCTATTTTAATGATATTGTGTTATCATACAACTTTTAGTCCTTTTTCTCCCCTTACCTTCATAGCACTTTTTAATAATCATTCGATACACACATTTCAAATTTAAAAGAATCAAACTTGAGCAAATTGGAAATGTGTTAAATGATTAGTTTAAGAAAAGCTTTCCTCGCAATCTCTCATCCTACAACTGCAAACACGAGGAGCAGGCCTATTATTACTTTATCGAAGACAAATGGGAAATTCAAAACATCAGTGCTAGTATAAACTGCCTTGAAACGAGTCGGAGCTTAACTCTAACGGGTTCTAGCCCTATGAAGTATGCAGTCATACCTATCGCTTACCACTTGTTAAAATAGCCTAACAGGTCAGTTCTTTTCTGAATCGAACATGTTCGTCAGGTTAAAGATCCGTTCTAAAGATCTGAAGAAATACCCAGCGCATTTATTTGTTGAAGATCAATCAACGCCTGTTATTAGGCAGAACAGTAATACTAATAAACTGTGGCGTCAATATACATGAAACCACTAATTTAATTGATGGGACCTCCTTTATGCCGCACGTTTGTGTATAACACGCAAAGTTTTGTGCACTGAGATGTGATTCTAAATTTGCCCTACGTTTGCGTTGAATCTCATCAACAACGGGTTGGTTTTAGCCCCGTACAGTGAAAGCTAAAATATTGAAATTAAAGTCATTGCACGCCACAGCACAGGTTCCTCAGCTCCTTCGTAAATTTGAGTATATCTAGTACGTTCTTCAAGTTCAAGTCCCGTTCTAGACATCTGTAGAAATACTCGGGGCATTCCTCACGTAGTTGCTGAAGACCAGTCAGTGACTGTCCATTCATCTCTGAAATGTCTTCGTTGCAAACCTTTTCTAATCCGATTTCTTTGAACCACTGTTTAACCTCTTCATTAGTCCAGGTAGACACTCCAAGGGATGAGGGTGAAGTGGCAACAATGTCAGCTTGAACTGCTTGCACCACTAGCTCGGATGGTCCATCTGTCACGTCACCATCCTTTCCTCTTCCTCCTAGTTCTTTAATCAGTTTTGTTACTCCTGGTTTTACAACGGTTTTGCTGTGAAAATCAATCCAAAACTTCGTTCCCAGAAGCATTCCCAGCCAACCGTCTGGTTTGTAGTTGCGTTGCATCATCAGTGGAATAATATCCTTTCCTAACTTATACGTGTACTCGGCCTCTGAACGACAGTTAGGACTCTCCTTGTATCGCTCTGATAAGCAGATAAGGACGACAGAAGAATCCTCCACAGCTTTAGCCATTGTCTCCAAGGTCGATCCTCCCATCTGCTCCAGATCCATCCATACTCTGTATCCACTTGCTTGAAGCCTGTTTTTCACTTCTACGAGCACCTCCTGGGAATCCCATTGGTAGCTGATCATCACGTGATTCCTAGTCGATGCGATCCTCTCTGACGATTGCCTAGCTGTCTTCCCTTCCAGTTCCCACAATGCACCTGCAGCAGCTTTCTGCACTTCTGGGTTCTCGCTCTGCTGTAACTTGTGTAAGATGTCCATAGCCCCTTCTTCTTGACGTATTCCTTCTTTGTTATTGTCATCAAAAGCTAACATCCACAATGCTCTTGTAGCACTGGCTTTCTCCTCATCCTCCTTCGACGTCTTGATCACTGAAATCAAAACAGGAATGACTCCGATTTGTCCCAAAATTTTCTTGTTGTCGTCGTTGATGGCCAGNTTCGTTCCCAGAAGCATTCCCAGCCAACCGTCTGGTTTGTAGTTGCGTTGCATCATCAGTGGAATAATATCCTTTCCTAACTTATACGTGTACTCGGCCTCTGAACGACAGTTAGGACTCTCCTTGTATCGCTCTGATAAGCAGATAAGGACGACAGAAGAATCCTCCACAGCTTTAGCCATTGTCTCCAAGGTCGATCCTCCCATCTGCTCCAGATCCATCCATACTCTGTATCCACTTGCTTGAAGCCTGTTTTTCACTTCTACGAGCACCTCCTGGGAATCCCATTGGTAGCTGATCATCACGTGATTCCTAGTCGATGCGATCCTCTCTGACGATTGCCTAGCTGTCTTCCCTTCCAGTTCCCACAATGCACCTGCAGCAGCTTTCTGCACTTCTGGGTTCTCGCTCTGCTGTAACTTGTGTAAGATGTCCATAGCCCCTTCTTCTTGACGTATTCCTTCTTTGTTATTGTCATCAAAAGCTAACATCCACAATGCTCTTGTAGCACTGGCTTTCTCCTCATCCTCCTTCGACGTCTTGATCACTGAAATCAAAACAGGAATGACTCCGATTTGTCCCAAAATTTTCTTGTTGTCGTCGTTGATGGCCAGGTGGCTAAGGCCTTCTGCGAGTTCCTTTGCAGAATATCCATAGCAACGGCGTTGATCTTCCGACTGCCATGCCTCATCTAATAATGTTATTATAAAGCTAAGCAAGTTCTCATCCGCCAAAATGAGATGATTCGTGTTTTCATCGACTAAATATGCGAGAGTAAGCAGAGATGGAACTGCAATTGCTGGAACGTTTTTCTTAGCAAAGTCAAGCAACGTTCGCTCACGGTTAGCAAACAGCTCACGGTCCCTTAGTCGCCGTGAAATGTTATGCAGAATTCCAAGAGAGATTTCAATTATTGTAACTAGCTCCGAGTCTTCATCTTCCTCTTCCCAGTTGGAATTTTCAGCATCAATTTGTTTTATGATTTCAAAGCACATTGAAATGACGCTTGCACCCGCACACGCTGAGCAAAAACCTTGGTGAAAGTCTGAGAAGCCTTGTATTGCCACTAGAGTTTTTGAAAGACAATCGTAACATGTGTAGTCGTCAGTTTCTTCTTTTTCGTCGGACTCTTCTTTAATAAGGTAGCTGAATTTCTTAAAGCAATGCTCTGCGAAAAGTTTCAATTGTTCAGCGCCACCGACATCAATGGTGAATTCGGTAAGGGTGATGAACTGTTTTTCCTCTTGAGTCCCAGCGGATTCGGATATGTGGAAACTTGTATTAGCTAAACCCGCAATCATCATACCCAACTTCGCATAGTCTTCAGGGTCATTTAAATTTTTATCAATAAAGTTTTTGAGCGCTTGTAGTCTTTCAAGCATTGTTTCTAGATCCTCAGCTTGGTCGGGATATTTGGCCTTGTATGTTTCAAGAGTATCGTTGGGTGAAGCTTTCTTATCAGTACTGGTTCGAGCAACATTTATGTCCTTGTTCTGTGCTTCGTGACTGAAATGTTGATCTTGGACAGGAATCTTTGGTTGAACCGTATCCTTTAATGGCGAAAGGCTCTCGCCTGGCGGTGGCTGTGACGGTATTTGTATAGAGTGGTGGTTTCTCGATGCTCCGGCACCCATAGTGATACGAGGTTTTTAAGACATGTCGACCTAAACAATGTAAATCGGTAGATGTAAATCGGTCAAGCAAATCAAGACAATATTGTAAGTGAAAAACTATGTTCTTTTTGCCAGCATTTCAGCGCTAGATTTCGGTTTAACTATCCATCTGATACATGCCAGTACTATGTACGACCTATTCATGTCTGCTGTACCGAGGTTTCGAGAAATTAGCGGAAATCGTGGTGGATTGTTAATGCATCTTGACACATTATCGATTTATTTACACCGTTACGAACCACTCGTTGCCATGCAAAAATCGCGTTACCTGACGGGGTCGCGTTGACGTCAATTACAATAACGTTGTCATAGAAAAATGCTAAAAGAAAAATGAAAAATGTAAAATTCAAATAAGAATTTATTAGACTTACTATTAAACCACATACATTAGGGTGTATTTGCTTTTACGCCCCAAAGACTCTTTGCAGCAAATGAATGTACCCTACATCTGCCTAGGTTTATAGCTGATTCAATAAAGGTTGCTTTGGGAATTGGGCATTGGGAAGCTATTATTTGGTGTTCACTCAAGTAAATCATTGCATCGTTCCTTATGCCCGAATGACCATTTACCAAAGTAACCTGTTTTGATCTAGCTGTATAAGCAGGCCTAATTAATTCCCTATTTGTTTTTTTTCCTTCTTTAAGACTCTATCTTTCCTTTAACTATTTTTCTAAGACAAAGCTATTCAAATTAGGTGTACATCACTATCCATCCGTGGAGCGTAACAAGACCCATTCGCATAATTCATTCAATATAGTTATTTGTAAAACTGAGTTTCCTAGGAATCTCGCTGAAATGGTTTTCCCTTGAGAGTTTTCGTCAACGTTTTAAACTTGAATAATTTGCTAATTGGGGACACTGAAAATGCTAAAATTCTCTAAAATTTAAAACTTATATTATTTTGCAGTACTGAACAACCGTTTATCTCCTAAACGTGCCGATAAACAGGCAATTGAAGATGAACTTAACATCGATGGAGGTAAACACGATTTAGCTTGTTTTTAAACCAGGAATTATTTTGAATGAATATTAAAACAATAATTGGATTCGGCTTTCGTATCATCCGAAGAATTATAGAGATCTCGGCCGAATCGGCCTCGGCGGATAACACCCTCCTCGATGTCCATTATTCTTCAGATGATACTCAGCCTCATCCAATAATTGTTAAATATTTCTAAACATCTTATATATAATTAGAACTACACATCATACAGGAACTGGAGTTGTCATCTACAAGATCTAAAGGTTAGTACATCGCAAGCTGGACTTGTAAGGTTCCAGATCAAAGTTTACAGTGTCGGGAAAGGTGTCCGTGACGTTTATTCTAAAAATCGAATTAATAAAGAAAGCTGCGGATAACACGCACATATTGATATAAGTCGCTATTAACATAGAGATTCTCTTAGTAATGATGCACAAATGTTTGCTTCACTTGTAACACAGCATAATACCATAACATACGATAATGATCTTTGTTTGTCACCCCAAAATTTTGCATATGCACTGTCTTCACTTTCTCTTGGGAGTTAAAGTGGCCCCAAGAGAAACTGAAAACAATGCTTATGCAAAATTTTAGGGTGACAAACAAAGAGCATTATCGTATGTTATGGTATTTTCTGGAGTGGGCAATTGGGCAACCAGGTGGATCGGACTGGGTTTTATAATAACAATAATAATCATCATCATCACCACCATCGTCATCAATTCATTAGCTCTTCTATGCCAAAAAAAGAAACTATCTAGTAAACAGGTACAGTATAAAGGAAAATACAAATTTAGAATACATCTAAATCTAACTATAAGCTAAATATATGTGTAAATAATGGCAAGTATTGTACAATAGATACATAAATGTATATTAAGTAACTAATAATTAAAAAATATATATACATGTGTAGATCAAAGAACGCAAAAAATGTGGGAATATATGTGCAGAAAAATATATGCATAACTCTTATATGCGTAATCCTATAATCCTCACACAGTCTCAGCCCCAGTCAGGGCCTGTTTACACGAAGGTGGTGGACCCCAGGTAGGTGAGGTAACCCGATTAGGTAGGGTAACCCGCCCGTCCATATAATCTCTCATTTTAATGTGATCACCTTTACAAGTTAGGTGGGGTAACCCGCCACATGTTACCTCATCTACCTGGGGTCCCCCACCTTCATGTAAACAGGCTCTTAGTGAGAACAGCTGTTATTTACGGCTACTTGCCATTTACATGGGAAAACCGGAAATCAAATAGTTTGCGTCATCCCGTTTGGGAAGCTTCAAAACGAAATTTGGGCTGTGATTTGCAGTGATGCAATTTTTCTTCTTTTTTTTTTGGTCTCTTCAGCCTTGGATATACTTTGTAGAGGGTCGTTCTCTCACCACGTCAAATTTTAAAAAAGTTTTATGTTTATGTACAAGGTATTTGTGTAGATGGTAAGCTCCCGTACATTTAGGGTAATATTCGGGAACGACTTTGCAGTTTCTTATTGAGGATCGGATCTTGTGGGTTTATATTCCTCTAACCGTCGATTTGAAGGCCAACCCTCACAGTGTAGGGCTGTATATACTAGCTTTAATAAATGAAAATCTTTACGGTGATGTATGGGTAATCAACGTACTTTGATTACCAAGAAAGAAAGGTTAGAAAAGATAAAAGGAAACTTTGTCAGGTAATTATCATGCCATATATTTTTGGCGTATATCTTAAGCCTTTCCCAGTCCAAATGATGTCAGTATTCAATGATATATTTGTTATTAATACAACTTTTTTTTCCACTTTTCTTTTTGGTTCAAAATGAAAAGGGGTAGTAGTAATATTTTAAACAAGAAAACACACTTGAGCAAATTTGGAATGAAATAAAAGAAAAAAGATTACAAGAAAAGCTTTACCCGCTATCTCTTATTAAGTCATATACCTGACATACGAAGAAGTTCGAACTATTAGCTATAAATGCCTTGATCTAAACGGGTTTTTCTATCGTTATCTTGCACGTACCGATAAATTGGGCTTATAACACTCAGACACACACTGCGTCCCGTAGCTTGCCCAGTTCCTGAATGTGAATACATCGACCATGTTCGACAAGTTCAAGGTCTTTTCTAAACATCTGTAGAAATACTCTGGGCATTTACTGCGTATTGGTTGTTGAAGGTCAATCAACGTCTGTCCTTCTTAAAACAGCTTTCCCAGCCCCTTCGTAAATGTGAATATGTCTAGCATGTTCGTCAAGTTCAAGTCCCGCTCCAAACATCTGTAGAAATACTCGGGGCATTCCTTGCGTAATTGCTGAAGATCAGTCAGTGACTGTCCATTCATACCCGAAATGTCTTCCTTACAAACCTTTTCTAAACCGATTTCTTTGAACCACTGTTTCACCCTTTCATTAGTCCAGGTAAACACTCCAGGGGATGAGGGTGAAGTGGCAACAATGTCAGCTTGATCTGCTTGCACCACTGGCTTGGGTGGTCCATCTGTCACGTCAACATGCTTTCCTCTTTCTCCTAGCTCTCTAATTAGTTTCGTTACACTTTCTTCTAATACGTCTTTACTCCAAAATTTAAACCGCATCTTTCCTGTCACGATAAGACCCAGCCAACCGTCTCCTTTGTAATTACATTCCATCATCAAAGGAATGATATCTTTTTTCAAGTCATACGCGTACGTCGCCTCTGAACGACAGTTTTGACTTTCCTTGTATCGTCGCGAGACACAGACAAGAACAACAGAAGCATTCTCAACAGCTTCAGCCATTGAGTCCAAGGTCGATCCTCTCATCTGCTCCAGATCCATCCACACTCTGTATCCACTTGCTCGAAGTCTGTTTTTCACTTCGACGAGCACTTCCTGGGAATCCCATTGGTAGCTGATCATCACGTGATTCCCGGTTGATTCGGTCCTCTTTAAGGACCTAGCTATCTTCCCTTCGAGTTCCCACAATGCACCTGCAGCAGCTTTCTGCACTTCTGGGTTCTCGCTCTGCTGTAACTGGTGTAAGATGTCCATAGCCCCTTCTTCTTGACGCACTTTTTCTTTGTTATTGTCATCAAAGGCTAGCATCCACAATGCTCTTGTAGCACTGGCTTTCTCCTCATCCACGTTCGACGTTTTGATCACTGAAATTAAAACAGGAATGACTCCGTTTTGTCCCAAAATATTCTTGTTGGCGTCGTTGATGGCGAGATGGCTAAGGCCTTCTGCGAGTTCCTTTGCAGAATATCCATTCGAATGTCGATCTTCCGACTGCCGTGCCTCATCTAATAATGTTATTATAAAGCTAAGCAAGTTCTTATCCGCCAATATGAGATGATTCGTGTTTTCATCAACTAAATATGCTAGAGTAAGCAGAGATTCAGCTGCAATTGTTGGAACTTTTTTCTTAGCATAGTAAAGCAACGTTTGCTCACGGTTAGCAAACAGCTCACGGTCCCGAAGTCGCCGTGAAATGTTATGCAGAATTCCAATAGAGTTGTCAATTATTGTAACTAGCTGCGAGTCTTCATCTTCCTCTTCCCAGTTGGAATTTTCAGCATCAATTTGTTTGACGAATTCAAAGCAGATTGAAATGATACCTGCACCCGCACACGCTGAGCAAAAACCTTGGTGAAAGTCTGAGAAGTTTTGTATTGCCGCTAGAGTATTTGAAAGACAATCGTAACATGTGTAGTCGTCAGTTTCTTTTTCATCGTCGGACTCTTCTTTAATAAGGTGGCTGAATTTCTCAAAACAATGTTGTACGAAAAGTTTCAATTGCTCAACGCCACCGACATCAATGGTGAAGTCGATAAGTGTGGTGAACTGTTTTTCCTTTTGAGTCAAGACGGATTCGAATGAGTGGACGCTTGTGTCAAATAAACCCTCGATCGTCTGCCTACCCAACTTGGCATAGTCTTCCGGGTCATTTAAATTTTTAGCTACAAAGTTTTTGAGCGCTTGTATTCTTTCAAGCATTGTTTCTAGGTCCTCAGCTTGGTCGGGATATTTGGCCTTGTATGTTTCAATGGTATCGGTGGGTGAAGCTTTCTTATCCGTACTGGTCTGACTGGTTCGAGCAACATCAACCTGCTCTTTAATTTCCATGGTCTTTGCTTGGCAACTGAAATGTTGATCTTGGACAGGAATCTTTGGTTGAACCGTATCCTTTAATGGCGAAAGGCTCTCGCGTGGCGGTGACGATATTCGCTTACTGAGTGGTGCTTATGGTGCGAGTTTCTGGATGCCCCGGCACCCACGGTGATACAAGGTTTCAAAGACGTGTCGATGCAGAAACGATGTAAATCTGTAATTGCCGTCTAGCAAACCGAGACAGTATTGTAAGCGAAGTACTATGTACTTTTTGCCAGCATTTCAGCTCTAGATTTCAGTTTAACTATCCATCTGACATATACCAGTGCTGTGTACGACTTGTTCAAGTCTGTTGTACCGAGGCGACAAGAAATGAGCGTAAGTCGACATGGATTGTTTATACATCTTGACACATTATCGGATTATTTCACCGTAGCAAGTTAAGATGGGTGAGGCCTTGTATACGTCATAGAACTGTATAACCAATAGCACTAAAGAGTCTCTTTTCACTCCGTTGCCATGCAAAAATCGCATTACCTGACGGGGTTCAGTGTTTTGACTTCAATACTTTTTATGTCTCCTTTAAAACTTTTCCCCATACACCTAAATTGCAACAACGTTGTCATAGAAAAATTCTAAGAAGAAAAATGAAATAAGAATTAATTAGACTTACTAATAAACCACTGTAGCGTGTATTTATTTTCAACGCACGCATAAAGCCGTCGCATTTTTATTTGCTTTTACGCCCCAAAGACTCTTAGCAGCAAATGAATGCACCCTACATCTGTCTAGGTTTATGAGAAGGCTTAAGAAATACCCTACTAAAGAGTATTTGTTTTTGTTTTTTTTCCTTTTTTTTCTGTTACTATTTCTTTTAAGACGAAGTTACTGCACTCACTATCCATCCGTTCCGTGTAACAATGGCCTTTCGCATAATCAATTCAACAATTACTTTGTTAAACTGAGTTTCCTACGAATTTCGCTAATATGGTTTCTCTTGACTTCGTTGGCAGTTTTAAACTTGTCTGAGTAACTTTCCCTGCATTTAAATCTCAATATCATTATGCATCCAAGCATACCTCGCTCTTTCTTTGCAGTTTTGTTTTTTGTTTGCCTTCAAATGTAAATCCTTGTTCGCTATTTATAGATGGTTTTCATGCAATATCGGGAGACACAAATAACAATGGTGAAATGAACAAATGCTGGTGGAAAAACAAAGCGAGCTAATGAGCGATCTTTTGTTTACCGTCCACCAGCATGGCGGCAATGACGTAACGTGAAAACCACTTTTCTTCGATCGTTCTGCCGATATCTCAGTTCAGTGGGGTTAATTACGTCTTTAGGAAGAACTCTCTCTTACCTTTATAAAATATATTCTTTATTTAAGACAAAATAAAGTTTGAAAACAGTCTTTCTAATTATTTTTCCTCTATTTTCAATAATCTATGGCTAAGTTACTAGTTAAATAAGATCTGGTATTATAAAAATAACTAAGATAGTACGCGCGCTCTGATTGGCCGAGAGGAGTGTTTGCATGAGAGTATGTAAACATGGTTGTGGCGTCAAGTTGTTTGGCTTTTCGCAATTACCTTTTATAAAATAACTAAGATAGTACGCGCGCTCTGATTGGCCGAGAGCAGTGTTTGCATGAGAGTATGTAAACATGGTTGTGGCGTCAAGTTGTTTGGCTTTTCGCGCGCTAATCACGCAAGCAGGAATTTGAAAAAGTTTTCGAGTTCAAAACTCGACAAGTTTACTTATTTACCCATTCCTTCGTCGACTGAAACATGGAAAATCGTTACAAAGAAGGTGAGTCAATTTTTCTTCCCTTAAGCTGACATTTTAAGCGAGAAAAAATCCGTATTTTGCAAAACTTTTTTTTGCAAAACAAGAACTGATTACGAGTGCAAAACTTCGTGGACAAGATTTTGCGACTGATAAGAACTTCTCTTTTAATCATAACTATAACAAAATTGTCAAATCTGATTGGCTATCAACTGCCCTGATTTCAGCCTTAATTGGGCAGTTTGATAGGACAGTACGCGTGCTAAGTAATTTGACAGTACGCGCCATCACGCGCGCGCTTAAATGGCTTTTTTTTCACTGCTAGCAAAACAAAATTTCGAATTTCTTGTGTTTTGATTTAAAAAATAGCCTATTCTATCACAAATTTTGTTAAAGTTATGATTAATTGGTAACAGAACTTCGTGTCGTCCAATTCCGTCTGTAATCATACTCGTGATCAAACAAATCCGACTCCCGTGATTTTGTTAATCACTCGCATGATTACAGACCGAATTGGAGTCCACTAAGTCCTGTTACCATTACTAATCAGTGCCATACAAAGAGTTTTGCGTTTTTTTCTCGGGAACGTTATTTTATAAAAGCAATAGAAAACTTTTTTCCTGTGTTTGTATAGCCTGATATAAACACTCGAGGCGCTGGGAGAATTCGCGACAGTTATGCAAACCCGAGACGAAGTCGAGGGTTTGCATAACTGTCTCGAATTCTCCCAACCCCTCTCGTGTTTATATCAGGCTATGCAAACACGGGAAACGTTTTCTATTGAATGTTCTCTTTAACTTGCCATCGGGTAACTATAGAACTGATCGATCAGATGGTTCGACCTGTAGAACTGACATTAAACTCCAAACTGGATTTGTGATGTTGGGTCTCACTGAGTTGGAACTTCCGGGTTGCTGTTGCAGTCATTCGAAAATGAAGGACAGGGTTTTATTGCGAGAAATATTGGAAGGAAACTTTACTGATCTATTATATGTATAGTCTATTTTTAATCTTATCTATTTAAATGATATACGTGCTATCATACGACTTTTTGTATTTTTTTTTTTCCTTTACCTTCATAGCACTTTTTAATAATCATTCGATACATACATTTCAAATTTAAAAGAATACACTTGAGCAAACTGGAAATGTGTTAAATGGTTAGTTTAAGAAAAACTTTCCTAGCAATCTCTCATCCTACACCTGCAAACACTCGGAGCAGGCCTGTTATACTTTATCGAAGACAACCAAACGGAAAATTCAAAACATCAGTGCTAGTAACTGCCTTGAAACGAGTCTTAACTCTAACGGGTTCCAGGGGTTCTAGCCCTATGAAGTGTGTAACGGTGGATTGGGCTTACAACACTCATACCTATCGCTCACCACTTGTTAAAATAGCCTAACAGGTCACTCAGTTCTTTCCTGAATCCACCATGTTCGCCAAGTTTAAGATCCGTTCTAAACATCTGTAGAAATACCCAGCGCATTTATTTGTTGAAGATAATCAACGCCTATTATATATTAGGCCGAACAGTAATACTAATAACCTGTGGCGTCAATATGCATGAAACCACTAATTTAATTGATGGGATCCGACCTTTATGCCGCACGTTTGTGTATAACACGCAAAGTTGTGTGCTGACTGAGATGTGATTCTAAATTTGCCATAAGTTTGCGTTGAATCTCATCAATAACGGGTTGGTTTTAGCCCCGTACAGTGAAAGCTAAAATACTGAAATTAAAGTCATTTCATGCCACTTGGCACAGCTTCGTCAGTCCCCTCGTAAATTCGAGTACATCTAGTATGTTCTTCAAGTTCACGTCCCGTTCTAGGCATCTGTAGAAATACTCGGGGGATTCCTCACAAAGTTGCTGAAGGCCGGTCAGTGACTGTCCATTCATCTCTGAAATGTCTTCCTTGCAAACCTTTTCTAATCCGATTTCTTTGAACCACTGTTTCACCTCTTCACTAGTCCAGGTAGACACCCCTGGGAATGAGGGTGCGGCAAGAAGATCGGCTTGAACTGCTCGAACTGCTGGTTCGGATGGTCCATCTGTCAAGTCCAGCTCCTTTCCTCTCGCCCCTAGCTCTCTAATTAGCTTCGTTACACTTTGTTCCAATACGTGTTTACTTTGAAAGTCATGCCAGAACTTTTCTCCCAAGATAAAACCCAGCCAACCGTCTGGCCTGTAGTTGCGTTGCATCATCAAAGGAATAATATCTTTTCTTTTCTTAAACGCGTACTTTGCTTCTGCACGACAGTTTGGACTCTCCTTGTATCGCTCTGATAAGCAGATAAGGACGACGGAAGAATCCTCAATAGCTTCAGCCATTGTCTCCAAGGTCGATCCTCTCATCTGCTCCACATCCATCCATACTCTGTATCCACTGTCTCCACTTGCTGGGAATCCCACTGGTAGCTGATCATCACGTGATTCCCTGTTGATTCGATCCTCTCTGAGTGCCTAGCTGTCTTCCCTTCCAGTTCCCACAATGTACCTGCAGCATCCCTCTGCACTTGTGGGTTCTCGCTCTGCTGTAACTGGTGTAAGATGTCCATAGCCCCTTCTTCTTGACGTATAGCTTCTTTGTTATTGTCATCAAAAGCTAACATCCACAATGCTCTTGTAGCACTACCTTTCTCCTCATCCTCTTTGGTCGTTTTGATCACTGAAATCAAAAGAGGAATGACTCCGTTTTGTCCCAAAATGTTCTTTTGTCGTCATTGATGGCTAGGTGGCTGCGGCCCTCTGCGAGTTCCCTTACAGAATATCCACTGGAACGTCGATCTTCCGACTGCCATGCCTCATCTAACAATGTTATAATAAAGCTGAGCAAGGTTTCATCCGCCAGAATGAGATGATTCGTATTTTCATCAACTAAATACGCCAGAGTAAGCAGAGATGGAGCTGCAATTGTCCGAATTTTTTTCTTGACAAAGTAAAGCAACGTTTGCTCAAGGTTAGCAAACAGCTCTCGATTCCTTAGTCGCCGTGAAATGTTATGCAGAATCGGCTATAGACGTTTCAATTATCATAACTAGCTCCCGCGAATCTTCATGTTCCTCCTCCCAGTTGGAATTTGCAGTATCAATGTGTTTGGCGTTTTCAAAGCACATTGAAATGACACCCGCATCCGCACACGCTGAACAAAAACCTTGGTGAAAGTCTGAGAAGTTTAGTATGACTACTAAGGCAAACCAAAGACAATGGTGACATGAGTAACCGACAGCTGGTTCTTCTTCATCGTCGGTTTCTTCTGTTAGCGCGTAGCTGTATTTCTTAAAGCAATGCTGTACGAACAGTTTCAACTTCTCAGCGCCACCTGCATCAATGATGAATTCTGTAAGTGTGGTGAACTGTTTTGCTTCGGGTGTCCCAGCTGATTCGGCTACGGCTACTTGTTTTAAATAAACCCTCGAGAGTCAGCTTACCCATTGTAGCATAATCGTCTGGGTCATTTAAATTTTTATCAACAAAGTTTTTGAGCGCTTGTAGTCTGTTAAGCATTGTTATTAGATTCTCAGCTTTGTCGGGATGTTTGACTATGCATGTTTCAAGAGTGTCGTTGGGTGACGCTTTCAAATCAGTATTGACGCAGGCAACATAAACGTCCTCTTTTATCTCCTCGTTATCTATTTTGGGACTAGACCGTTGATCTTGGACGGACATGTGTGATTGAATAGAGTCCTTTAATGACAGTAGACTGTCTCCTATTGGTGTCGGTGGTATCGGTAGTGCTTTCCGTTGGTGGTTGTGGTGCTGTCTAGATGCGCTAGCGTACACAGCGGATATACCGCGACGTGTTTGCAAGGGAAATGTAAATCGTTAACTGGTTTAGCAAATTGAAACAATGTTTTTAAGAAAGTGATTGAAAAAATCCTATGTACTTTTCGCCAGCATTGCGGCTTTAGAGGCCGGTTTAGTGGGCTATCCTACATTTAGTCACACTGTATTCAGCTCTGCTTCTGCATTTCGAAGCCGGAAACAGTGTAAATCGATATGTTACACTCAACACTGAAACCATTTGTTTTCATGTAAAAGCCGAACTTCTTGAAAGGGTTCATTGTGACGTCAAACCTACTTCGTCCCTTCTAGAACTATTACCTAGAGCTATTTCGAGAAAGGTTGTCGGAAAAAGTGCACGCGACAATCCCGAAAGGTATTGTGGGTGGTTTTGAGTTCATTGTTGTTCAAAGAAATTTGAAAGAAGGGCAAGAGAGGCCACGAACATATGTTTGCGAGTGCTAAAGGAAAGCAACAAAAGTAGGTTCGACGGCTACTTTGTCGGGAATAGTGTATTGATCATATCCCATGTTACCTTTCGGGCTTGTCGCGTGCACATTTTTTCCCACAACGTTTCTCGAAATAGCTGTATACATTCACCATCCATCCGTAGCGGGAAAGAACCAAGGTAATAACAGATTAAACAAATATTTAGTAATACTGCGTTTCCTAGAAACATCGCTGAAATGATTATTTTCCTCCCTCTCGACTTCTCGTAGCGAGAAGGTAGTGACAGGGAGTTAAGCCCCCTCCCATTTTTGTAGCGTCAGAAAATCTTATTTTATCTGGTTTTATTATAGTTAGCCAATTTCATTTTGTACAGAAATAACTTCATTAACATATTTTTGAAAACAAATGCTTCTGTCTTTATCACTGCTTCTCGGTATCATTACGGTGGTTTTCTTAGGCATGGAGAGTGACTGAAATCATGTACAAAAAACCATGATGGAGAAAGCAGGTTTTCTGTCAACGCTAGTGCTTATTTTCATGCAAAACTGAAACCATCAGGTATAGCAACGATTTCAAAGAATAAGAGGGCACATATTATTCACGCAAATAGGACAAAGAAAAAACTTTGTACCGGTGGGGTGTAAGACCTAGCCTGAGAAAATAGCCGACATTTCGTGACGACACCACTGATTTCCGCGCGATGAAGCGTCACCACCCAGATCTGTGCAGTGCTTCTGATTGGATGAATTAAATTTTCAACGAATCAAAAGCATTACCTAGAACTGGGTAGCGAAGTGAATGTATATTGTCGATCAATAGTATTCTTGCTCGTTGTGTAGCTCTTTGAAATATACCGAATAGTTAAATGAAGATTTTCACGCATATTCCATACAATAGGTGAGATAAAAACAGGAAACGCAAGGTTCCATGCACAGTTTCTGTTCGATTTACAGAGCTATGATCAAAACATTCTCAGTTTCGAGAATAGTTTATTCTAAACCATAAGAAAAGATTTAATTAGAAGTTGAATTTTTCGCTATTTCCCTTTCACTTTTCACATACAGTTCATTTTATTTGCCGGAATTGGCTTGGTAATTAAAAGAACGTTTGATCAATTCAGGCTCCCACATTCTACAGGGGCACCCAACGTCAATTTTCGGAAAATATCTGTTCGGAAGACGATTTGAGATCTAGAATTTTCGGAACAGGAACATTTTTTGTAAAATTTCTTGCTTGCCTACCTCTCCTAGGATTTTCGAACATCTATAAATTGGTGTAATTGTTCATTTTTAAGGGATTTTTACCCTAAAGAGCTCACCTAGAATTTTCGGGAGCCTTTTTTCTGGCCGAAATTTTCGAAAAGGTAAGTTTTGATCCCTATGATTTTCGGATCTCGAGACTTTCAGCTAGGAAATCCGAACAGATGAAAAATTTTTAGGGGATAAAAATATGCCTATATCTACCGTTTAAAGACTAAAATACGTTTAACAATGCTATGTTTAAGTGGTTTTGAACTATATTCTCGTTGGGTGCCCCTGATTCTATTCTTTTTTAATTTTTATAGCGGAAGGACATCTGTGCGCAGGAAATAAGTCCGCACAGAATTTGTTTGTCGGCGGATTTCTGTAATTCTAGTGATAAGCCAGCCGTTGATTCAGTCGTCTTGCTTGTTTGGGGCTGAATCCTATTCCGGTCAAAGAGACAAAGATCGAGAAAGACTGTCAGGCAAGGTTTCTAATCAAAGATTTGTGAACTCGTGTCTGGCAAACTCTCCATTTAAAAGTATTTATATATATGTTGTAGTTCAGTTTTATCCCTGGTTTAAATTTTGTTTTCCTGTGTTTCAAACTCATTAACATACATTACCATACCCAAACACAAAGGAAAATAAAATTTAAACCAAGGATGAAATTGAACAACAACATATACACTGTTATACGAGTGTCCTTTAGTCCATAACTTTCAAAACAACAACTGCTTCACAGAATGTCACTGATAACACGTAACGCAAAAGAGTATCGAAATATGACTGCACAATAAATGTCACAAAATCTACCTAAGCGGTCCCTTCGGGATTTTCTGTCTTTACGTCATCCTAACTATCTCATACTTGCGGGCGCGAACAATAGAAACGTTATCATTTATATCTACCGATTCCACGCGGCCCCTGTTCGAACAATTCGAGATTTTTTCTGGCATACTGACTGTATGTTTCAACTGTAAGTATATGAGCGCGAGTTACTAGAGTGCCTCCCAGCGGGGGCAATGATGTACGTATTACTGTTTCAATTTTCTTTTTTTTCTTTTGCTTTTCTCGTTCTTTTTCTTTTCCTCGTATTTTTTAATTTGTATGTTGGTCTTAGTCTTTTTTGTCTTAAAAAACGGTTTGTTTTAAATTTCAGGTAAACGTGTCAGTAAATTAGGCTGTAAAACAGACACACATTGCATGCCACTTAATATCCTACCAGCTGACTCAGTTCTTTCCTGAATTTGAATATATCGACCATTCTTGTCAGGTTCAAGTCCCGTTCTAAACATTTGTAGAAATACTCGGGACACTCCCCACGTAGTTGCTGAAGATCAATCAACGTCTCTCCATTTATCTCCGAAATGTCTTCCTTGCAAATCTTTTCTAATCCAATTTCTTTGAACCACTGTTTCACCTCTTCGTTAGTCCAGCTAGACACCCCTGGGGATGAGGGTTCAGTGTCGACATCATCTGAATGAACTGCTGGAGCCACTGGAGTGACGGATGGCTCATCTGTGTTGTCAACATCCTTTCCTCTTCCTCCAAGTTCTTTGATTAGTTTTGTTACACTTGGTTCTATAGATTGCTGACTATTAAAGTCAAACCACAATTTTGTTCCCACGAGCATACCGAGCCAACCGTCTCCACGGTATTTGCGTTGCATCATCAAAGGAATGATATCTTTTCTTAACTGGTACGCGTACTCTGCCTCTGAACGACAGTTTGGACTTTCCTTGTATCGTTCCGAGACACAGACAAGGACGACAGAAGAATTCTCAACAGCTTTGGCCATTGCCTCTAAGGTCGATCCTCTCATTTGTTCCAGATCCATCCATACTCTGTATCCACTTGCTTGAAGCCTGTTTTTCACTTCGACGAGCATTTCCTGGGAATCCCATTGGTAGCTGATCATCACGTGATTCCCTGTCGATTCGGTCCCCTCCACGTTTCTAGCTGTCTTCCCTTCGACCTCCCACAATGCACCTGCAGCGGCCCTTTGTACTTGTGAGTCCTTACTGTGTTGTAAATGACATAAAAGGCCCACAGCTCCGTCTTCTTGGCGTATAGCTTTTTTATTGTTGTCATCAAAGGCTAACATCCACAATGCTTTAATAGCACTTACTTTTTCCGCATCTTCGCTGGACGTTTTGATGACTGAAATCAAAACACTCGTGGCTCCTTTTTGTCCTAGAATTTTCTTGTTTGTGTCGTTGACGGCGAGATGGCTGAGGCCTTCTGCGAGTTCCTTTGCAGAATATCCAATCGAACGGCGTTCTTCCGACTGCCATGCTTCATCTAACAATGTTATTATAAAGCTGAGCAAGGTTTCTTCCGCCAGAAGGAGATGATTTGTGTTTTCATTAACTAAATATGCCAGAGTAAGCAAAGAGTGGGCTGCAATCTCTCTTACTTTCTTCTTGGCCAAACAAAGTAGCGTTTCGAGACTGTTTGCAAACAGGTCACGGTTCTTGAACCGTTGTGAAATGTTATACAAAATTCCAAGGCAGTTGTCAATTATTATAACTGGCTCCGAGTCTTCATCTCCTTCTTCCCAGTCCAAATTTTCAGCATCAATTCGTTTCACGTTTTCAAGGCATATTGAAATGACACCAGCATTCACACACGCTGAACAAAATCCTTGGTGGAAGTCTGCAAAGTTTTGTATTGTCGCTAAGGTATCAAAAAGACAAGCGCAACATGCCCTATATTTCCTACTTTTTGCCTCAGTGGCTCCTGCTAAAACATAATATTCCTCAAAGCAATACTGCACAAACCGTTTCAGCTCTTCTACGCCTCCCACATCGACAGTAAAATCAAGTAATGTGGTGAATTGAGCAGCCTCGGGAGTCCCAGCAGACATGCCACTTTGAACGCTAGTTTTACGCAAACCATTGACTGTCTGCGTGGCCACTCTGTAAAACTCATCAGGATGATTTGCGTTGCTATCAACAAAGGTCTTGAGGACTTGTAGCCTGTTAAAAATTGTTTGTAGGCTCTCAGCTTGCTCGGGATAATTAACCTTATATTGGTCCAGAGTATCGTTTGGCAAAGCTTCCCAATCCTGAGTGTCGTTACCTTTAGGTAAGTTCACATTCCTTGTCCTGTTTTCGCGGGGGTCTCCATTGGGACAAAACTGTTGGTCTTGCATCTGAGTTTGAGCCATGTTCTTGTGCAACGACTAAGAGGCGTCTTGACTGTCGGTGGTGCCGCTGATATTATGGATACGATCTTTAGGGTCGCGGTCCAAGTAGAAATCACTGGAGAAATACGAAGTCCCTAAGCAATGTCGACATGGATGCGTAGTAACTCGAAAAATACAGTTATTATATAATTCATCAAACGGGAAGAATGTCGTAAGAGACTAACAGAATCATGAGGACAAAGCCTGTTCGTTTTGCGAGCATTGGTTTGCCTTTGAGATTTTTGTAGCGATATCGATATGCAGTGCTTACGTGTTCGCTGTGACGTCAATATTATCACGCAATTTCAACTAATTACTGAGAAACAACTAAATTATAAAACAAGAACACAAAAAATAAACAGGAAAAACGAAACGGGGAATAAAATCACAAAAGGGTAAAAGCGATTCACGCATGGAGAGGGATTAGTGCTCAAAATCTAAAGTAAAAAAATGCTCTTGTCCAAAGAAAATATTTACTAAAGTGACCTAATTTGCATAGCTTTAATTACCTGAGTTCCAAACGCTCTTCAAAAACCAGCATGACATGAAAGGTTTCTGTTTTATACCAAGCATAAACGCAAAAAAGCGCTTCATACACAACTTTTATCAAACGTTGCAGCTGTGCAACCATCGAGTTATGGATACACTTGGCACTTGGTAAAGCACCTTATTTCTCGATTTCTGCACCCATGCATATACATTCCTGACTTCCGGACGACGTCCGAAAATTTTAATTAAAATTAAAATGTGAGTTATTTCTCTTGACTATCTAATTAACGAAAAGTCTAGGACAACTTTTCCTCGACCACCTAAATTACGAAAATTCTAGGGCAATTTTCTTTTCGAAATTCAAGACAACGTGTTCTTTCCCTAGAGGAGAAATTTTCCGAAAAATTTAGGCGACCTTCATGTACGTCCCCAACAGATATTTTACCAAAATCATTCGTTGGGTGCCCCTGACTTGGGAGGTTTGCTAAGCACTCAAGAAGCTAGAGTTGCATTCGGCTATCACCTCTTGCAACTCTTACTGCTTACGCTTCTTTGGTGCTAAGCAACCTCTAGCCTGCGAAGCGCAGACGTATTTCCGGTCGTCGCAAGCGATGACCGGAAATACGTCTGCGCTTCGCAGCCTAAGCAACCTCCCGCGTGCATCCGTAATTCGATGGTTGCACGCGGCACGTTTACCATTTCTTAATCGGACTAATCTGGAATCGAGTCCGCAATCAAGATACATGTTCGACAATAGGAAAATATTATTAATCAATGCGCTAAAATATATTCACGGGGAAACAAGGACGGTCTGTTGAGAATTGCGATCGATTTGTCCGAATTCCGTCGAATTAATCACCGGTGATTTTCACAATCCTCTTACAAGTAGAAGTCGAACGTTAGACGGGCCAACCGTGAGCTGTTTAGAATTAATCATTTGAAGATTCACCTGCGACGAAAAGCGACGCACTTGCCAAAGAACGTTCTGAAACTTTCTTCGGAGGAAGCAAATCGATTAAAAATCGATAAACATTCTGTATAATCCCATTGGTCGGCTTGGAAGACGAAATAATCGATAAAGATTTTACGCAATCCTATTGGCCAGCTTTGCAATTTGTTCGGACAATGAAAAACAAACCAAACCGGATTTTTACCGTGGTCTGCCACAGGCATCCCAAGTAATAAAG